TTCATTGAGTTTGGTCGGTGCAAATACCGTTTTCTTCGATTAGGTTAAGCTTACGGCATCGTTCGAAACGTCCTATAATGAAGTTTTATTTTTTACTGGTATTTTTTTTTGCAGTGAAGGAATTTAAGCATTTATAAATCAAGAATCTGTTGCCTTAATCATGTTTTACCCCCATCCGTGGTCCATATTTTACCATTTGTTTAAATCTGCTCACATCCAGATAATTACCTTTTTTAATCTGGTCTTCTTCAATGCCAACATCAATCACTTTTTGCTTTTCCCCAATTAACGATTTTATTTCCTGTGATAGCGGTTGTAACGTTTCTGTGTTTTTTACATAAAGTAACCCTAAAAATGTCAAAATTAAAATTCAAAATCTTTATTTAAACATATCAGATATTGAAAACTGATATCAATAGTGTTAAGGTAGTCCGATTCTCAGGATCTGAAAATCAGCTTTCAAGTAATTGAAAATGCTCACAAAAATTCCTCTGATTTCACAGAGTAACGTGAATTTACCCATGGTATTTCTTCAAAGTTCATCATTAAAGTTAATCATATTATATGGGGGAAATTATCAAATCTTAAATATATTTTCAGGAAATGCGAATAAAAACACCAGCTATGCATTTTCTATTTGAAAATTGATCAACAAATATATTTTAGAATAAAAAAATATAGGTATCCAGGCATTTGGAGAAAATTGCATCTTTTTTATGCTTATACAATATTTTAGTTCTTCTATTTACTTCAGTCGTTATATAATTCATAGTATACAATGCTTGTGTTTTCATTGCTAGACATCACAGATAACGTCTAATTTCATATCATGCTAATAAGCATTGGTATCGAAAGCTAAATTAAAGGAAATTCGATTTCTCTAAAAATGATTTTTTTTTTCTTTTATGGGGTACAAATGTCAACTTCTTTAAAAGACCTTTTGTAAGACTTGTAGAGAAGCTTGAATCATATTGAGATGCATAAATTGAAAATTGTTGCACGAAAAGATCTCAGTTTTAAGCTTCATTTTGAGACTTTTTAAATAAAATAATAAATTTAAGAGTTCTCCTTCCTGGCTGAGGATCGGACATCCTTAAACCACAAAGCACCTGACGAATGGATGGTGTACATTGTAACTCCCCTTCCCCCAACCTTCCGCAAAAATAAAAAAATAATTATTAGACGCGATTACTTAACAAAAATACATGAATTCCTAGCCTGTCATGCTTATATTCCGATATCTGATGTCATTTTCCATTTTTGTTCAGTTTTAGAGATTGACCCTTTACGGTATACATGTTCAAAAATACTACATACCGTAAAGGGCCAATCTCTAAAACTTCACAAAAATGGAAATATTGGGATATAGGTATGATAGGCTTAGAATTCATGTATTTTTTATAAATATCCGTTCTAATAAATTTTTTAGAGGGTTGGTAGGGGATTTCAACGTCCATTCTTCAGGTGCCTGTGTCTTAAAGTACCGAAGTTCACAATACATGAAACGACTGTGAACGTTAACAAGGGGCCCAGGGGCCTTGACGGACACCTGAGTATCATGGGTTTCTGAGTCAACCCCACCGGAAACTAGAACTCTTAACTCATGTACATAAATTTTATAAATTAATGAAGACTGTATATTCACTATCCTATTCGTGGAGTTGGTTCCTATATTATTAGGAATAGAAAATATTGAAAAAAAAAATATTTTAAGATTTCAGTTTTTGTAGACAGCTACATTTTTCTCTTAAATGGTCTTTAAATGGCCTTAAATGGTTTGCCCTTAAATATTTTATGATTAGAGAAAAAAGGGATTTTAAAAGAAGCTATGTAATGATACCTTTTTAAAAACATTTACATATATTACCAATAACGGAGCCTGAATCATGCAGGCTAGGGGCTTCAATATTGAGGGCTACGTGTTTATTATAATGATGCCAACAGTTCGATTGATTGATATCAGAAGTAAAAAAAAAAAAGAAAAGAAAAGATTTTTGTTGATTGCATTAGTTTTGATGATTTTTACCGTATTCTTCAAACCGTAGGGTAAAACGAAATTCACCATTTTTGTTACCCTTTACTCATAAAGGGTTTAAATCAGAAGTATTGTTTAGTCATTGCAGTGAAGAAAGTGAAAATACATACGACTGCTACACGACCACGACGGCAAACAAAACAGACTGCAATCCATTCAAGTTTTCTGGAAATAGGGGCTTAGTAATACTTAGTGATACATTTAACAAACGTATGTTTTAAAGTATCGGAAAATAAACGGAAGTTCAAAACTATAAAGAACTTTTTAACATATCATAATTATAATTGTATTTTCCTTTACAACTTACCTACTTTCCTCGTCATTTTGTGTATACATGTATAGCCTACTTTCGTTTCATTATTTACCTATACGTAATTATATTTTAGGCACATCATGACATAAGTTACCAAATTTAGTATAGATAAAAGCCAGTCTGATTAAAAATCATACCTCTATTACCTCTGTTTTTTTTTCATATTGATTGTCAATGTATGATTTTAATCAGACTGGATGAAAGCCAAATGCCGAAATCCCAAGGATTTGATCTACAACAAAGAATATATCTTAGAGAACAATCTACTAAGGATTAATAATTCTTAAAACATGCAGTATTTAATTTAATCCAAAAGTTTGTAAAACTAATGTTCTCAATAATAAAAGTTTATATCTGTGTTTTACCGCCGCAAGACACTAGATTTTGTCAATGTAAGGCCCATATTTGTTAATATCTATCCTTGGAGGCAGGTCGATTCTAGGGAAAATCAAAGTACTGAAAGTACTCATGGGAGTTGAACATTGTAAAGTGAAAGATTTAACAGGAAGTAAAGGAGCTATAATGTCGGAACATTTTTTCATGCTTTAGATACAAGTCAACTATTGCAGATTTGATAGAGATACAACATCAAACATAAGAAATAATTTCAAAAACATTTGAATAACGAAGATCATGGGCCACAATACTCACCTGAGTAACTTTAATGACTTTAACCGTGTTGTTCTTATTCAGATTTTCAAAAACTTTTACCACTTAATATTCCCATGTAGGGACGTAGCATCGTTTTTGAAAGGGAGGCCTCGAAAATTCTAACTCGAAAATTTTATTTTTTGGGTGTGGGGATTTCAGACCTTTTGAAATGTTAAGGAAAGTTTGGGCGTAGAGCAGGTCTGACCTGGTGTTGAAAATGAGCAAATTTACCACTACCTGATTAAGTCTTAAATTCGTGATACTTTATATGAATTTCACCTGTTAATTCCAGGGCATAGTCACAGCACAAAATGTAACAGGAAAGGAAGGAGAAAACTGCGACGGACCAGGCCCGAATTCGAATCCCGGTCTTGTCTCGCATTTTTCTCTCTTCTGTTTAATTTGGTGCCATACCCATTCCCTGAGAATGACAGGTAAAAAACCTACCAGGAAAGAACCTGGGTTGGTGTTTTGGGCGTGAAAACCTTTAAGGAGGGAGTGATGTGACAGTCAGATGGGTTCGATAGCTGGTGGCCAGATAGTTCAGTTGGTAGAACACCTGACTAGAGATTGAGGGTGCCCGGGTTCGAATCCTGGTCTGCTCCGCATTTTTCTCTCCTGAAGCATTTTTTTTCTAAATCTGAAATCTATGAACTCATGCTAGTATCTAGAGCACTTTCGGTCATCTCATTCTCACTCAAAAGTCTTATTGATTCTTGATATAAACTTATGTCTAGCACCTTGACTAGAACTTAATCTATCAACTCTAGGGCTTATGTAGCTCTTCTTACGCTATCAAAAACTGGATCTAGCGAAGTCAAAGTTTCTTTTCAAAATCCTGGTCACGGCACCAAAATGTGCAATGTATGTTTGAACCTGTTCTGATCCGTTGCACTTTCTCCTTTCTGGTTACATATATAAAGTGTACAGAAATAATTTTGACCAAATCTACTACTGAACACTTAACGTCATGAATTTAATTGAGCCAAGAAGTTCATTTGCACCTATAGTTTACGACACCCTTGGGTGAAAAGTAGTGAAAGTATCCAAACCACATCATATATTATATAAAATAGACGCATGGCGTAATTTTACACCTTTGCATGTAAAAACTTACCAGCTTCATAAAAGGAACACCAGCCATGGCTATGTTCAAGTAAGTGCTGCCATATGTACGTCTTAGATATGTAGTGGATACAATATTGACCGAAGTGCTATTTTAGACCATTCGTACGGAAAAGTAGGCAAATAATTGATGCCAGGTAATCTAATATGTGCTCCAATTTCTTTGCATGTACCATCAACTTGAGATTTATAGTTGTACCCTAAAACTGGTCGAGGTTCATAGAAGTTAATGTTTACCTAGTATATAAGCATTAAATCCATCAATTCTGGACGTCAACTCTTTTTGTCTTTACGGTAGAAGACTGAACCAATCATATTGAAAAAAAAGTATTATTTAAAATATTACTTTTCACAAATATTCTGGATTCCTGGTAAGCTTCTGTTCATATAGTTATAATATTTATGCACACGCATTTTTTCTTTTAATAAATATCGTTTTTAACAGCAAATAAGCATATAATTAATTTATATTTTCTAGGTTTTTTGTTCTATGCATATGAGACACGTAATGAATTAATTTTGTTCCGAATCCGGTGTTTAATTTATCCTGCAAAAAGACTCGGTGAAAAAACTATATTTAGATAACTCGTCTACCTTGATAAGCACCAATACATGTATATGTCATTTTCCATAGAAAACTCACTGAATCCAACCTCTACCTAACACTACCGATTTTAGTATGAATGAGGTTTTATCATTTTATATACTTATTTGGTGAACCGTTTTCATTAACTAAAGTGTACTTTATCATGCTCTTCAAACGAGTCATTCATTATCACCAGAATGTAATTCAAGAAATTTACTCTGCATATAACTAAAATTAATTCAGAGGATTATATAATCATTTAATGTATATATTGAGCATAAAATGTCAAGAATAAATTGAAAAAAATATAAGCATATTTAAATAATGATCACAGGTAGGTATTAGTAAACGATGTATTAAAAGAGAACAGTTAACATGAAAAGTGATATAAGATATTAACAATTAATAAATACACATTCTGTTGTTATTCATTAATATCACTAAAACATATTTTAGACTGGCATATAAATTGCATCATGAACAAAGAAAAAGAGATCAAAACTTGAACACTTAAATATATGTAATTATAACAAGACATGGAATATATACCCAATCAGCAAATGCTGACAGAAAAAGAGCTTTATAACTAGTACCTATACGGCATAATGAGTTCAGATTATGAGATCACACCTTGAGCAAGAAAAGCAACCATGTATATGTTTGACAGCTATACGTGTACTCTTTTATTGATTGAAGTACTTATTTGATAAGTAAACTTATCTCTGACACCAACTTTACAAAATTTGTATAAAATTTGTACCTAAGAATCAGAAGTCTTCAGTGTAATAGACTGGTACCCTGAAGCTAATTACACTTATGAATTCTCTGGAAAAAAAAACAAAAAACTTTTGTACCTTCTAGCAGCGGTGACTGAAATCAAAGACAAGAGAACTAGTGCTAGTCTTGTAAGAGTTCTAGGTAATCTCGTATTCAATAATAAGAAAAGAATGTCAGTGAATGATGCTTAATAAATGATACATATACTGAAATTGTTAAATATAACTTATTTAAAACAATTGTACATACAAAAGTAAGAAGAAATTCTGATTCAACAAGTGTGAATTGCAATGTATTTGATTTTCTTTCCAGATAAATATTTGGCAACATGTGTAAAAATCAGTGGGTGCAGTTCAGATTGACTGGGAATTAAACAAGTATTGGAGAAAAGTGTTTATATACACCTTGGTGTTAGAATAAACTGTAATGACTTGCTTTCTGACACAATTAATTGAAAGTTAGAGGTATTTACTGACAATGGGTTGTAAAATGCCCATCCTCAATGAAGGAAAACGGAATCAGACTATAAATGAGAAAAAAAATAAACAAGTGACTATATTGCTTATTTAATTGCAAAAATATTAAGAGATGAAGTTTATTTTTTTTTTCGGGGGGGGGGGGGTGGCAGAAGTAATAAAAACTAGATGTGTTTGTAACTCTCCAATATCCCCAAGGCTTGGTCAATTAATAATGGGGCAAAATTTAACTTTATTCAGAGAAGTAAGGAGCCATTTACATTCCCTGATAATAACCTAGCTGCGTGCTAGTAAAAATTGCTAACATTCCACCCTATCAAAATTATGGGCCAGACAAAACTTTTACACTTTCAAAACGGGATCATAGCTTTTGACAATTGTCATTATGTCAAGGTCATTGCACACCCCCTGATCATATCTTTCCACTGTGAATTAAAGGACATATTTCTAAATTACAGTCATTAGTTCACATTTAAAACTCCTGTGACCTTGACATTTTAAATAACCATAAGTCGGGGTAATACACACCCTCTAGTACATTTACACTATGTATGAAATTTTCGTGTTCTTCACTTCAGAAATGGTGTTTGAGATTAATACATTGTATATAAAGTTGTGGACAAGTAAATAGACAGAGGCACAAGGCAGACAGGCCTAACTAATAGTTTTCAATTTTGCAAGCATAAAAATTAAAAAGTCAATATTCTTCTCAAGAATTACATTGACTAAATTATCAAAACTTGTTAAGAATAATTAGAATTACTATAAGCAAGCTCACAAATTAATACCCCTGCTGCAATTTTTTTTTTAAAAGTGCCCATTCACCTTAAACTTGCCAAAATGATCTTGATTAAAAAATAATGACACATCCTTGAGTCATACGTAATCGTTTAGTGAAACATAGGCATCCAATGTTTCTCCAGTAGGAATTTACAGACCTGACATATGAATTTTACACTTTTTCTGCCAGTGACTTTGAACTCACCACAATGACTTTGGGTCAAGGTTATGACATACTTTTAACTCATGAATAATTATTGTTTGAAGTTTTAACTTCCAGCAAAAATTTTATATTTTTTGCCAGTGTTCTTGAAATTGCCAGAATGACCCTGGTTGAAAGTCATGACACACCTTTCAGACATAAGTAATATTTGTGTGAAGTGTTTATTCATAAACAAGATACCCATGGGCCGCAATGCTTACCTGAGTAGCTTTGGCCTTTCTTCTTCAACAACATTCTTTTCCTATATATTCCTTTGTAAAACTTTGATCACCAATTGTAGCACCAGCCTACCTACGGGGGTCATGATTTGAACACACTTTAATCTACACTACCTGAGGATGCTTCCATATAATTAGGACTAATCATGGCTTTCCTGTTCTTGAGAAGTAGATATCGATTTTAAAGATTTATTTCTATTCCTATGTAAAACTTTGATTGTCCATTACAAAGTTCTAGCTACCTATATTTATATATGCACAAACAGATGGAAGACAGACAGACAAGGTGGAATAGGTGATCTCTATGTAATAATACCCAACAAACTGAGTTTGCAGGGGATATAATTATTGAATGTGCAATAAATGGGAAAAAATCTTTTTAAAAAAGTTAAAAAACGGGAAATAAAAAAAATAATTCTACTCATCAGAAATTAATATTTCATACAAATTTTCATATTTGCATTTTGATGTTTTTAGGGGTCTTCTTTGTTTACTGGTTCCTAATCCATTTCAAAAAGTCCTTCAATTCTCCATCCGGGTCTCCCTCATAAAGTTCTTTGGCATTTTTTATCTCCTCTGGCCATATAATGACATCCCTACTGAGCTTGTGATACAGACAGGGTACTGACTTATGACCACTGCTCTCACTGGTGCCTGTATCTGTCTCATATTTATAAGCTATTCTCCCAGAGACCTTTGTTAGCTCCGCCAGTAGATCAATTTTTTCTGGTTTTGTCTCCAAAGTTTCTTTCAGCTGAGTCTCCAGGTTTGTAATCAGCCACCCTCCTTGTTTATCTCTATTGTAAGCCTCTTTTCCTGAAAATATAGAATCAATTATTATTTATTAAAAGATATTAAGCAATATCCACACGCTGAATGTTTATTACTTGTATAAACAAATACCTGGAGCAGAGGCAAACATGACTAAAGCATCATTGACACAAGGTGGCGGATCACTTATTATAGGCTCTGGGAAAAAGAAATCCAGAATCTCTTGTTCAAATCCTTTACATTCCTCCTTTATTTCATTTATCTGATCAATTGTGAGGCCTTCTGAAAGTAAAGTCTCAAATAATTTGATGGCTATCTCATTGTCTGTTCCCTGTGCTTCCAGCAGTGAAATGGTTCTATGTTCCATGAGATATTTGTTGTAATCCAAAATATGTCTGTGCAGCACTGCAAGCTTTGCTTTTTTATTCCACTGTAAAAGAAAGATTTTATCTTGTTTTGAATCCCCTCACAACCATGAACAAAACTCAAATTATGAAACTGAACATCCACAACATTAAACAATGCCAGAATATTAAATCAGTAATTAATTATATAATCTTTTTCATTAATATGTATTTTAATTTTAATGTATTTCAAAATTTTACTAATTCTTGTAATGTAATTTCATGGGTGATTCTTGTTTACAGAAGATTCAATGAACCGATATGTGAACATTATGTGGAAGTTATCGTTCGTAGGGATGTAAATTCCAGGGTTAGGATGATCCACAAAATCCACAAACATTGGTCCCCATGAACAATGTTGATTTCACTAAATTTTATACTTGCCTCCTGGATTTGCTTTAATCTGGCCTCTTTATCTTCTTCTGTCTGCTTCGTTGTACTTCGCTTGGCATCTGTTGTATCCTGATGTGAAGTATCGCTTGAGGCATCTACAGAATCAGGGCTCTTTAGACCAGCCCTAATATCATTTTCTGCTGTCAAAACATTAACCATCACTCCAGGATCAAAGTTCTCATGTCCATCTAAACCAAATCGACTCCTGCATGACTGAAAAAAAAAATATTTATTGGACTTTTAACAACTGTTCAAGAAATATATATTTTCTTCACAAAGTTGTTAAATACATGAGAGAATGATAATAATTCTTGCTCAGAAAAATGAGAATTTTATATATGCTTCTCTAAAACATAGGTAGTCAGAGATTATGTAGCTCATCTCAATGGATATTATCCTTAAGTAAGGCACAGTCCAGACCTAACAAATAATCTAGTATTATCCATCCCTAGATGCAACATTTATGCAAATTTTGTGCAGGAAGGGCTTGCAGTTACTTGGAAATGGACTTGCTCGAAAAACTTTAATATGGTCACTCATCCAGAAAATACAGACCAGACCTAGCATCAAAATCAAGTTTGGAAGTCATATTCCTTGATGCATAATCCATACATGTTTGGTTCAGGAAGGCTTTATAAATACTTGCAATTGGACCTGCTAAAAAATTAACCTGGTCACTCATCCAGAAAACGAATGTCAGATCCAGGATCCGAAACATGTCCAGTAGTGTACTAGATGCATCATAAATCTAAGATTGGTCCAGGTAGGGCTTAAAATTACACTTGAATGAACGTGCTCCAAAATCATTAACCTGGTCACTCCTCCAGAAAATTCAAGCCAAACCCAGCTTCTGAAGCAAGTCTGGTAGTGTGCATTCTTGGATACATCATCCATGCAAGTTTGGTCCAGATAGGGCTTGAAGTAACACTGAAATCAACCTGCTCAAAAAACTAAAACCTGGTCACTCATCTGGAAATACAGGTCAAATCCAGCATATGAAGCAAGTCTGGTAGTGTGTATTAAAAGATGTATAATCTATGCAGTTTTGGTCACACGAGGCTTACAGTTTATCTAAAATGTTATTTTAAAGCTTACATTATTTTAAAATGAACCATCCAAAAAATGTAGGTCAGATACAGCTTCTGAAGCAATTCTGATAGTGTGCATCCTTAGATGTATCATCAAATGCAAGTTTGGTCAATGTAGGGGTTATAGTTATTTGAAAATGAGAATGGCTTCAAAGACTTTAACCTGATTAATAAGACCTGCTCACTCAGAAAATGAAGGTCAGATCCAGCATCTTAATTAAGTTTTGTAGTGTGCATTCTCAGATGTATCATCCATGCAAGTTTGGAAATGAGACCTGCTCTAAAAACTTTTGCCTGGTCCAAAAACATAAACCTGCTCAAAAAACATTAAGCTGGTTATTCTTTGGCCGAAAATTCACCTTCTGAAAACTGACTGGTACAATGAAACATACTAGAAGCATCATCTATGCATCTCTTATCAATATAGGGTGTGAAAGTACTTGCTCCAAATACTTTAACTTGGGATGCCGGCGCTGAAGACATTTAGGGTATTATATAATCTCCCCCAACTTCACTGAGGTAAGTGAAAAACAAAAATCATTCAAAACACAATTTATCCTTAAATTTACACAGATTTAAGATTTAAGTATTTAACACTAGACAGAATGCAAGTTTTGGCTTGAAGAAGTGCATGGGAATATATCTTGAATGAGGGTTATTAAATACATGTGCAGTAAAAACTGTCTTATCCGACACCTGTGAAATTCATTTCACTGTAAATTACGACCTTTATTTTAATTCCATTTTAATAATGGTCTTTACACTGGGTAATCCAACACCCTGCTAATCCCAACACAAAATGTGTCTCCCAGTGCATGTCAGATTAGACAGGTTTCACAGTATACATAATGGCAAAGCAACAGGATTAAATAAATAAAAATATTACCTGAATAAAAAAAAGACAGGGTTTGCCTTCAAGAGCCGAACAATTGTGTTGGTCAAACATTCTGATAATGTCTCTTGTTAAAAGAGACTTTCCATTATGGAAGAACAACTGATGTACCATTTCAGTCCTAGGTTTCTTTTGAACTGTGATCCCAGATGGGTGCTGCTCATGGGGCTCTTTGTTATCCTCTTTAATAACCATGGGTACTTCCTGTCCGTGTGTACTGATGATTAGTACAAAGAAGCTGGGCTTCAGTTTCTTACACCAATTTATTCCTATGTCATGTCAAAAAAAAAAATGAAATATTCACATGTATAATTATGTAAATCATAGTATAATGAAAAAGACTGGAGTAAAGTATCAATAAATCTGACTAGTTATAAACTAGATTATAAATAGAAAAAGTAGCAATTACCTTCTTGTAAAAATTGTATTGCTTGTTCAGCAGTTGGATTAAGTTTCTTTTTCACAAAACATCCCAAGTTTTCAAAACTATCCTTCATCTTCTGAAATTCCTTTGAAGAAGAATGCCTGTTCTCTAAAGACACCTCAGCTTTTTCAGAATCGGCATCAAATTCCAATAAACCAATGTAGAGACACAGGCCAGGATTTTTAAGGGGATAACTGTTATCCTCCTCCACTTTGTCATCAGTGTTTGTTCCGGCGACAAAGCTATGCAATACAAAATGAAAAATTATGCAAGGCCATCTTTAAAAAATTGTTTGTTTGCCCTCTCCTGACCGACTGGCTAAAAATAGTCTGACTCATTATCTGACTGATTTATCTCCAGGAAATTATATTTTTTTCCTTTTCATTTCGAATTTTTCTCATCCCTTCATATTTTGAAAATTCAGCATTGATGTTGAAACTTTCTAGGAAATTTTTTTTTCCAACCTACCTACTGACCCAATTTTTTTTTTAACCCTGAATCGGTAGAGGGCAAACAAAAATTATTTTAAAATGGCCCAGAGTATGATTCTATGCAGCATTGAAGCAGTGGCAGAACCTTCCATGTCTGAATCTATACAGACTTTTTAAACAAGAATAGGAAGAGCTAAAAGATCTAACAAAGAGGTAAAAACACTGTAATTATCTATAATTTATCCTTCACATTTCTTGAAAATATCTTGGACCAACAATCTTTTAAGGTATAAATTTAATGGCCAGATCCTGAGATATTCTACATCTAATTAGAAGTTCTATATAAATTGAAAAAGGAACTCATACTTAATGCCAGATTCCTTTGAGATTTCATCTTCATCATTTGGTTTTGTAGAAAGGTCTGGAGCTTTCCCTTGATTGAAATTTTCCAAAACCTCAACTTTTAGAAACTGTGGTTCTTTGTTCTCTGTTGGAGTCTGAACAGGGGTAACAGTATCTACTTGGTCTTTTGAGCTACTGGAACAATTTTGATTGTTGAATTTGTCCACAATTTGTTTGGCTAGGGTTTCGATGCTTTCTTGATTGTTGTTTTCCATTGTAACAACCATGTGACATGTTTTTGATCCATGTTCAAGGTATTTTTCATCTTCACTTATCACAGTGGCTTTTGAGGTGAAAGAAGGAAAAGAAGTCAGAAGGTGCTGGTTTATGTTACAAACCACAACCAAAGTGAACTCAATTCCATCATCTTCTTCATCATCATCCAACAGCTCTGAATATGAAAACAAAATTAGATATGTCATATATGAAAAACATCCTTTAAGGAGGCTGGGGGGTCAACAAATTAACCACAAATTAACCACCAGATTTAACTTAATTTTTTAGATATGATATCTTAAGCTGTCAACTATCATTTGGCAAAGAAAATTTTCAAAAATTTTAGTTTTAAAAATTGATCATTTTCTATATCTTCATATGGAGCTCTTCCTCTAAAGGAGATCAATATAGTCTAAAAATGGCCACAACCCCCCAGTCTCTTTAAAAGACAACTTAGGAAAGAATAATCTTAAAAACACCCCTGAAAAGACAATTTAAGAAAGAATGATCTTAAAAACACTTAAAAATAAGTCTGCCATTTTGAAACAAGAGGCTCAAGGGCCTTTACAGTCACCTGCATATAATACAACAATTTAGAGGATCCATAGAAGTATGAAATAAATTGATAGATGAAACTTTATTATCCAAAAGCAAGAAAAATAGGATGATCCACAAAATAATTAGTCTAGTAACAGTAACAGCTCATAAAGTATAAGTTCCTCTTGCCCCCATTTATCACTATCACCATGTAAACTATAACCTCTCACATCATATTTATATGCAGTTAGTTGGAGATTTTCAAAGAATAAAAAAATTAACACATTTTCACTATATTACAGGTATCAATAGATCCCACCCTTACACCAGAACATCTGATTCAGGGGCAATGAAACTCACATTTCTTTTAAAGAATTATTAGAAAGTTTTAATTTAAATTCATTGTGTGAACCACTGTGGTATAATAATAAAATAAAGATTCAAAATAAATATGTATTTTGTAAGCAAATGTTTGATAAAGGGTTCCACATAGTACATGACTTATTCAATATAGAAGGTAATTTTATTAGCTATGAAAGTATCACAAAATATTATTTAGTAAAATTACCATTTACCACACATGAGGGTCTGAAGCAAAGTATTTTGAGTGCATGGCCAAATATCAAGCAATTGTCATATAATACTACTGTCAAACCATATCAACCTGAATTTATAAAAATACTTTGTAAGAACAAAAAAGGATCCAGAAATATTTATGATTATTTAATGTCAAAAATACAGCACAAACCAATTTGTGAAAACAAATGGGCTACTGATCTAAAGTTAAGAGTCAAATTTCAACTGGAAACATGTTTATGCAAACTTTAAATTGATAACGAAAGACTCGGGACTTATGTGGTTTAATTATAGAATTATTCATAGAATATTAGGTACTAATAAGTACTTATATTTGTCTAAAATTAAAAATTGAACACTTTGTTCAATATGTAAATTAGAACCAGAATCAATTAAGCATATATTTTTCTACTGTCCACAGGTTTCTATGATTTAATGGCTAGAATTGTCAGATTGGATTTTTCAAAAGTCTGGTAAAAGAATTGAATTTGATGTGAAAACTGTTATTTTTGGTTATCTGGAAAAAGATCACATGGTAATAAATTTGATAATCCTGTTGGTGAAGAAATACTTATTTCAACAATCAAGAAAAAACAATAATATTGTCTTTAATGAAATTTCAAAATATTTAAACAATTACTATACTTTAGAGGAAAAAATGTCAGAAAATACATTTTATAAAAATAGATGGTCCAAGTGGAAATGTCTTTTTAATGTGTCTAATAGTAACTCTTAATATTATGAATGAATATGTATTGTAAATCAGGTATTTATGTTTATTTGCATGTGTATGTATATATATACATATATATGTATGTGTATGTATCTGTCCAACAGGTATGAGAGTGGGAGAGAGAGGTGTATATGTTTTGCAATTACATAAATAAAAAAAACCCTCGCATTTCTGGAAGAAACCCCTTGCTCATCATAACTATACACTTAGTTTATTTGTTTTATAACCAGGAGCTTAAAAGAATATTTTCAAAGAAATTATGCATTTTCACTATATAATCAAAAGAGCCCCCCCCTTTCACCAGAACCCCCGACCATGTGCAGGAATTTCACAATTTTTGAAGAGGCATCCTTGTTATCATAACCATGCCTTTAGTTTGTTTACATAATACATAGGAGCAGAGAAGAAGATTTTCAAAGAATTAATGCATTTTCACTATATTTTCAATAGAGCACCCTTCCAACAACAGGACCCCTGACCCAGGGGCCATGAAATTCACAATTTTGGAAGAGGCATCCTTACTCATCATAACTATATACTTGGTTTGTTTGTTTGATAGATAGGAGCAGAGAAGATTTTCAAAGAATTAATGCACTTTCATTATATAATCAATAGGTCACCCACATGGCGCAGTGGTTAGAGCATCTGCTCATGAGTCGCAGAGTAAGGAGCTTATCCTTACGTCGTGGGTTCAAATCCACTGCAGGAAGTGGAGATCGGTCCTTGGGATGAGACCATATAAACCCAGGTGCCAACTTGCAGAAGGTGTTGGCACAAAAAAGATCCCTCAATGCTCAATGGCCCTGAGTGCCAAGTATTGGTATAAATTTGCAGCCCTCCACTGGCAAGTGGTGGAGTCTCCATATAAGTGAAAAATTCTTGGGTGAGACATTAAAACAAACAAACAAAATATAATCAATAGAGCCAGCCACCCCCCCCCCCCTTCGCAGAACCCCCTCATCCTGGGGCCAGAAATTTCAAAATTTTAGAAGAGGCACCCTTGCTCATCATAACTATGTACTTAGTTAGTTTGTTTAATACACAGGAGCAGAGAAGAAGATTTTCAAAGAAATAAAGCATTTTCACTATATAATCTACATAGCCCCACCCTAGAACCAGAACCCCTGACCCTGGGGCCATGAATTTCACAATTTTGGTAGAGGATTCAGTGCTTATTACAATCATGAATGCCAACAGTTTGACTGCTTGTTGTCGGGGAGTAAAGAAGATTTTTAAGGATTGCATTAATTTTGGTGGTTTTAGCCCCACCCCTCAGGCACCAGGGGGGCAGAGACCATGAAATTCAGAATTTTTGTCCTCCTTCACTCATACATGCTATATGCCAAAAATGTTGAAATACTTTGTATCGCAATTACCTCACAGTTATTCAGGGGCATGAATTACTTGCGTTAGTGACAATCAAATGATTTGAACAATTAGTATGCCGAAAGTACTATGTATTGCAAAGGGATGAACTTCTAATAGTAGGTTGTCTAATTTGGAATGTTTAAATTTTTTTTTATCAGCTTCCAAAAGTAGCGATAATCAGAAAGAAATGGTTGAATTTAATTAGAAGAGTTGGCTTACTGAAAAAGTATCAAAAAAAATTAACACATGAGGACTAGGTTCTCTTAAAATTTATAAGTGTGGTACAGGGAATGTTCTGCAAGATTCTTTCATATCTGTCCTTTAAAAATCCACAATGCTTATCTCGCATAGCCTGGTTCTCTGTCCCTGTTATGCCTCGTATACTCCGCGATACTGCCTTGGCAAGGATGAGCCAGGGAACCAGGCTAGATATCACGTTGTATGGAACAGCACATTGCCCCCAGTTAACAGACATTTCCTACCTTCACCGAGAAAGAGTTCCATTAAATAAAGTAATCGCAATATCAAGTATTGGTTCAGCAGTTCCAGAGAAGAAGCTGAAAATGTTCAAATGGTAACACACTACGCAAGATGCACAACCCACGACAACGGACAAAAAGGGATAGCAATAGGTCACCTGAGTGACTTAAGTGACCTAAAAAAGCTATGCAACTGTGTCTTGCATCTTGCTGAAATGTAATCATTTCAAGGTTATAACAATTCTGGTCTTGAGCATCCTTTGTGTTGAATATAAACTATGACCTTTCACAATCCTAGCATTTATATACCATACAGTGGGTTTCTTTAGTGGGTGTAAAATTTGGCATTTTGCTTGCTCAAAGGTATGCCAATAATTTTGGAGAAACTTTTTTGGCAGACACTCAGTTACATAAGGTTGTAAAAGAAAGGAAGTTCACCTTCTAGATGAGTTTAAGTATGTTGAATTTACGTTTGAATACTGATTTAGACGAGAGTTTGAGTTAAAATCAACATCAGATGAAAGTGTATTGTTTAACAGCAGACTGATCGAAGTTAATTATGTTCTCCTATTCAGTACTTATACACAACGGTGCAAATTTAGTGATAATTTTTGCGGGCTACTTAAAACCACTAAAATAAGTTAGCACACTGCTAAATATATGGTATCATTGTCCCAAGAACGTCTCAGCCATGTGACCTTGAGTTTATGCAAACAGCCATGAATCATGACAGACCTCTTGGTCATAACCAATCTTCATGTCGACTATGAGTCTATGACCAAATATGCTCTCCTTGCATTTCCAAGTCCTTCAAATTTTGTCACTTCTGAACCTGTGACCTTGACCTAGTCTTAATGACCTTTATTTAAGGTTGTGACGCATCCTATGTTCATAATGAACCCTCAGGCCAAGTATGATCCTCTTTATATTATTCCCTTACAAATTATGAAACAAAGAATTTTATACTTCAAACTCAGTGACCTTGTCCTTGTCCAACTGACCATAGTGTAGGGTTGTTACACTCTCTGGTCACCAACATTATTTGTACTTTGAAACTTATGGTGAAGATACATTTAAACAACCTGTGACTTGACCTTGTCCAAATTAATCTGGGTTAAGGTCATGACATACCCTCCAGTCACAACATTTGTCTTGAGTATATACGTGTATAAGCTTCTAACATTTATAACACCCTCACAGTAGCTCAGTTGGTAGAGCACTTGCTCCATAATCGAAAGGTTGTGTGTTCGAATCACAGCCGAGACTGACCTAAGTCGATAAAAAATAGGTAGCAACTGTTCCTTCACCAATTGCACATTGGAGCTAAAGTTGTGGGTCTTTCGGATGAGACCTTAAAAACCAAGGCTACGTGTCACGGTAGGCATTGGCACGATAAAGAACCCTCACTGCTCAATGGCCCTTAGTGCCAAGTAAAGGTCTAAATTTGAAGCCCTTCATCGGTATATGGTGACGTCTCTATATGAGGGAAAAATTCTCGAACGGGACATAAAACAAAACACAATCAATCAATCAAATCTAACATTTATACATTTCAAGTTGTGACTAGAACAATAATTTATGCACAAAATATTTTTAAAAATGTAAACCCTAAAAACAGCATCACCTCTAGTATGCACAACTCATTGCAGCTGCATCAATTGTAAGTTGTAAAACATACCATATTCTCCCAATTTAATGCTTGATTGAATGAAATCTAACCATGTTCCATGTGACTCATGTATACATCAGAAATATTGTAAGATATTTTACCTTCCAGTTTGTTGTGGATTTTATTTGATTGCTCTTTCCAAAATGTCTCCCAGAAAACATTGTCTGTGATTACAATCAGTGAGGTTACTGACTTCAGATTTTTACCAATGTGCTTTGCAATTGAAGTGAGATTTCCTGAAAAATTATATTGTAATTTAAAAATAATTTTCAAATGACAATGCTATATACAGTATCATGTACATGTATTGGTGTTGTATAGAAGGAATTCCCCCATAGTCATGCAGCTTTCCCCTCCCCCCTCCCCAGTATATCTGTACTCTAAAACAGGATTCTCCCCCAGCAGAAATTTCACACTAGAGCCACACTTCCCTTTCCTTTTTTCCCCCCCCCCCCCAAGAGTACGATTTCCCCCAACCTTATAAACACTAAATTTTAGCTCTCAGGGCCATTATAATCCACAGCAACAATACTTCGGCTAAAGTTTATATGAAAGTCAACTAGTTATTTTAATGGAAAATTGAGTGTTTTCGACTCATAAATTGTTCATCTTAAATATAAATTCTAAAAATATCTTTCAAAATATCTTTCAAATTAAATCATAGAGTTTAAACTCAAAATTGACTCTCAAAAGAAATTGCAATCAGTGATAAAATTCAATGTCTCAAGTCAACACCTCTCGTGGCGCTGCACAGTGGTGCCTGTATATGTCATAAATTTTTCAATAGATATTAGGCCACCTTTAAAAATTTAATTTGTTTTCCCTCTACAATATCAACCCAGTAGAGGAGTCTTAGACATTGTTATTCCATAGACTAGTTTTAATTCTCATATAAACAGAAACTGTGCTTTTGGATATTAAATGAATAATACTTTAATGGTGAGGAAATTGGCACTGGGGAAATTACACTCTCACTGACTCCATATAATTAATAACTGTCAGAGTAGCCCCTCCCCAAGGGAAAATAGAATCCAGTGTAGGATTTGATGCAAATGTATATATCAAAGACATGCCACTGAATAAAATCCAAACTAAGAATGTAGGGGAGAAGCCATGTGCAATATTGTTGGTTAATTGGAGGATAGCCACTCTTCCCTTGAGGCTTCACTGGGGAAAACTCACTATAGCCAGCTTTCCAAGGGAGAAGTCTCACTATACACAGGCCTCTGAATTTCTATCAATAAGCCCTTACATGATTGATTAGAGTAATATATATATACCCCTCTATATTTATATATAGAGGGGGTATATATATATTACTCTAATCAATCATGTAACGGCTTATTGATAGAAATTCAGAGGCCTGTGCACTATATGAGGCTGGTACACAGGTACATGTCTTACATAGAATTTAAAAAAAAGGGTATAGTATCTAAATCTGATGTGATTTTACAGTGAAAATATAGGCCCAATGAAAAGTATTATCCTCTCTGTAAAGCAATAATTCAAGAATTCTACCTTCTTGACCATGTTTTCACCTCAATGATCCCAGTCCTATTAAGTTTAAACTGCACAGCAACATTATTACCTGGTTTTATTTTGTCCTCTTCAATGCCCGCATCAACCACTCTTTTCTTTTCCTCAATCATAGATTTTATCTCATTTGATAGCGGTTGAAACGTTTTTGTGTTCTTTACATATAGTAACCCTGTTAAATGTCAAATAAAAAAAATGAGAGATTTATTTTGTCTTCATTTTTTTCTTCCTCTAAAACCTAAACATAACAACTCATAACAGATATAAAAGTTAACTCATCTGAACAGAATTAAATCACTACCAACATTTAAAATGGCTGTATAACAATAGGTGTTTCGTCGATCCCAACTTTCGCAGTATCATTTACAAACGTAATTTGTTGTACACTTTAAAACAATGGTTAAATGTCGGAAGTTCAAAGTTATAAAGAACTCAGAAAGATATAATAATTATATTTGTTTCTTTTTTTAACTTACCTACTTTCCCTGTCATTTTAAAAAGTCTACTAAGACTACTTTCGTTTCATTATTGGCCGAGGCTATCCGCACGACGGTCGTGCTAATTACCGGTGTTATCCGCACGACGGTCGTGCCGATTACTGTTGTTATCCGCACGACGGTCGTGCCGATTACGGAGGCTATTCGCACGACAAACTTTGAAACAATTTTATAATTTTTTTTGTTTATAACTTTATACTATTTATATTTGCATATACTTTATTTGTAATTTTTTGTTTATAACTGTGACTTTTTTTTTTCGGGGGGGGGGGGGGGTTCCGGACAGTAGCTCTAAGAACCAGTCCTTAAGAAGTGACTATATTCACAACGTCCCTGTGTCACAAAATATTGTGGATCCTGTGTTTAAGTTAGGAACTATAGATCTAATAACAAAACAACAACAGCAGAGTTTTGATTCAACGAGTATAATAATATCCAAACGCAGTTTACATATCAAGTACAAGCTATCTGCGTGTTCACTCACTCTCTGAGACTCTCTCTCTCTCTCTCTCGATCCTTAAATATATACTCTGTCTGACACCTAACGTCATTAGGGCACCCATTAGGGCAATAAGCTCCATAGTTAGGGCACCTGTTAGGGCATTAGGCTCCATGATTAGGGCACCCGTTAGGGCATTAGGCTCCAAGTATAGGGCCGCTGCACCAATGTTAGGTGTCAAGACACCTTATACATTTAGAACATCTGTTAGGCGCCATAATTAGGACGCTAATTAGGCTCCAAGATTAGGGCACTAATCAGGCTCCATGGTTAGGGCCTTTCACACAGCAAAAATTCAATTCATCTTTTATCTATAACAATAAAATATTTATATATTAAAAACAAAAACATTACATAACTTTATATTATTTATATTTGCATATACTTTATTTATATAAATAAATTTTTACTCGGTGTTTTGCTATTGTGTGCAGAAACTCAAAGCGAATTTAACATTAGACGGACACAAAAAGTGAACTTATCCCTAACTCTTCAGAAATTCCTAGTTCATTCAAGTGCTAGAATGTTTGCCGCGGCATAATTCAGATTACGATTTTTCAAAAAGAAAACAACGGCCTTTTTTCGAAATACGACACTCAAATTTCAGTTTTATATATTAGAAAAAAAAAGCTTCCGGACAGTCCGACACTGATGGTTAATTTGCCCCATTCTGTGCAAGTGGTGCCGGGTTTTCTTCCTTTAAAATCCTCTGGAATGTGTATGGGGTGGAGTGGGTTGATTTTAGATAGAAAAAAAATGTCTGGAATTTTTTTTTAAAATTACAGTCTTGGAATCTTTGCTTTTTAGGAAGGGTATGAAAAAAGACTTTTTTAATCTGCTTCTCAAATTTTAAGGGAATTTGAAATACGTGCAGTGTAGGGGCTATTTGAAGTGTCACAGCATGGCTTGTACACTACGAATTTTCCTGATTTTCCAGGTGAGTTGAGGCAGTGAAATTCTTTAAATTAATTTTTTTGTTATAAAGGAGTACATTATGGCAAAATAATTGGTAGTCTGCGTCCTATGATACACATGTGCGGATCGTGAATTATTATATCGGAATCAAGATCACGGTCTCAGTATTGCAATAAAGTAGACTAGATGTGAATCTATCCCATGCTTTTTTTAAATATTTATATTTACTACTCTGAAATTAAAATCAATCTTTTCTTTTATGGACATGGATTATATCGTATCATGTTAATTTTAAAGAATTTTTGAATGAATTTAAATGTTCCTGTATATTTGAAAAACTCCAAACAAGTTTGATCAACGTACTTAAATGAGAAAACGTTTAGATGAAACTATATATGTTCACTATCAAAGTATATAATAATGCATAAATCTTAAAAAAATCCTCTATGAATATATTTGAAATTGATTGATTTACTGTTTAACATAAAATTTATTTTAAAATAAAATAAATAGGGGAAATACGACAGAATATTTTAATCATTTTATAATAGCTATGTGAAGTAATGTGAACGTTATTTTTTTACGGGGTCACAATTCCATGGAATCGCAAACTCTGTTCAATTCGCGGATATAAAATTATTTGAATTTTTGATTGCCTTTGCACTCTTAAAGATTTTTAAATTTGTACGTTGTGATAAATCTTCACATATAGCGTTATTAATTAATCCCCTTGATAAATAAAAATACGTCTACAGTATACTGGAAGGTTGAAGGTTGTATTGAAGGAGAGAGGGAGAGAGAGAGAGATTATTAAATTATTAAAACCATCCAGAAAAATGGAAAATTATGGAAAGAGAATATAAACACCATAAAAACGAAAGAAAATTATTGAAAATAGATAGCTATATTTTTTTTAAATTTCCAATCAACGTCTGAAGTACGTTACATACTCAAGAGATGATATAAAGGACGAATAAAAAATTAATTCTTATTATACTTTGTCACGACGATTCACGAAGAAAATTCACCGTAAGCAAATTTTACTTAACCGAATGTTATAATTAGTTCTACTGTGCATCTCTTTTACTTTGTATTAAATTTTTGGTGAAAAGTGTATATAATGTACTATAGAGTTATCTCTCTTGTGTCGTGCGGATAAGAACTGTAATACGCACGACCGTCGTGCGAATAACGAAAATAATCGGCACGACCGTCGTGCCGATAGACACTTCCTTCATTATTTACAAAATGAATGGTTACGTTTAATCTAGTATTGATAAGAGCCGAACACCGAAAGTCTCCGGATATGATTACACAAACTATCTCTTTTAAAATGGGGAACAATGGACTACGGCCTATTTAAAACTTTGCAAAATCCTAAAAAATCACGGTTTTTTGTTTTAAATTTAATTTTTTGATCGGACACATATTTTGGGTTTCCGGTATCAAAACATGTCTTTATAGTCATGATAACATTGTGGGTATCAATCTCTAATCCGCAACTCTAATACCACTGAATAAAATCTGATGAAACTTTCACAGAATCTGCATTAAATGTATAAAGTACCATTGTGCACCTCCTACTTTATATTTTGGTCGGAAGGGTATTTGGGCTCTCCCATAGCGAAAAATGGACTTTGTCATGTACATATATTCATATGGGAGCGGAGGTATCATTTTGTGAGCTCAGTGCTCACCTAACCTCTAGTTTAAGTTTTGGAAAGTGAAGAAATGTTGTTTAATGTATATGTAACAATGGTGATAGTCGATTTAAAGTGAAATAACTAAAAAAAAATTTGGGGGGTATAAACATATTAGATTGATAGGCTGTTTTAGGAAATATGACAACTAAGGCAGTTAAAATTGACCAGCACATGTTTTTAAAATGTCCAACATTTGCAAGGCAAGACCGTCAGAACGGGGATGGTTACGTTGGGTGCGGTAGCACCCTCTTTTAAAAAGAAAACTCGACCATTTCAAGACAAAGGCTGCGCCTGCCCTCGGTTGACAATGGTTTTCTTGGGGTGAAAATTTTCAATGTTACACTCAACTACATGCAATATTTACATAATAACAACCACCCTTTTTCTGTTCGTGGATACTAAGTGTAGCAAATTTTTGTCAGCCACGCAAAAGTATGTGTTTCAAGAAATGAGGAATCAAAACATTTAAACGGAGACAGGTTATAGTGTATTCATTTTATGATATATTTGGTGTTATCACGATCTAAGTCGTTTAGGTGGATGGAAACAGCTTATGGTGGGTAAAAATTTCTACATCATTTCGCTGTGTGCATATGTTCCTAGCGCTGCAATATAAATATTTTTATGTGCTTTGATTCACTGTGTATGGCAGGGCGTGCAGGTAACCTTATCTCTATCCTCGATTTTTCAGTCCTATTAGACTCTTAACGCCTTTACTTGTTTTAATTGCGGTTCGGACATCTTTAAAATGTTATCTAAGTTTAAAAATAGTTTGATCTACATTCTACTACAATATTGTTTGTATATATCTAACTACGGCACAGGATAAGTAACAAAAATACATGAAATGCCTCAACAGGGAAAACCCAAGCACGCTCATGAATGATCATTATGAGAACTTGTTTTCATAAACAGTAATATTAAAGTCATTTTATTTTTTGGATTTAAAAATTATGAAACAAGAATCACAAGACCAATCTCTTTAAGATATTTTAATTTTTTCCTATTTCAGCATGTCCGCACGATCTTTTGTAAAAGCGATAATGCGAGCAATACGAGTGACAGAGTTTGGAAGCCCAGAGGTTTTAAAACTTGAAACAAACGTTTCCGTGCCAAAACCTTCCAACGATCAGGTATTACATTTATTTACATGATTTTATGGTTCTGTCTTTCAATAGGAGAGAGGTATTGGTAATAAATTTTCAGTCATGGAATAAAATTGAAAGCAGACCATAGAAATTGAAACGGAATAAAAGAGAGCCCAGATTCATTATCTAGAATACATGTATTATTTATCACAATTTTCAATGTTTGTGCAAATTTTACTGACTGGTGAGTATTTATTTCTTACTAAGTCCGATATCATGACTGCGTTTCATCTTTCAGCGCCATGAACTATTTGTAGTCCATGCGTGATTAACCCGTAAATCAATTCTGTGAACCAGTTTTAAAGTTGTTTAGATTCTCTTTGTTCAGTACCGGTATATAACAGTGAATAACACAGTACTGATTATTATATGTTTTCAACATTTTTAAAAAACACCAGATCTACAGATTAGTAAAATCCACGAAGTTTAACTAATTCTATTTTTTAATTCATTTTGCACATATTCAAGGTTCTAATAAAAGTCCATGCTGCTGGAATTAATCCAGTAGATACATATATAAGATCAGGGACATATGCTGCAAAGCCTACCCTGCCTTACACCCCCGGGAAAGATGTTGCAGGGGTTGTGGAGGATGTGGGATCCAATGTTAGACACTTGAAGGTAGGGCGGGTTTATAAATATTCATGTATGATACCATATAAATCTAATCTTTTTATTACAATTTAAACTTTTTATTTCAGTGCATCATGTATAATGTATAAATATACAATGTATAAACTTTGCAATGATCATAATTAAAAACGTATTTATCATAGGAAACTACATGTAAATGTCAAAAATGCTGGTTGATAAATTCAAATTTGGCAAAAAATAAATCCGATTTTATTCTTCAAATTCAAAATTTGGTGCTTTACCAAAATCAAGTGTTGGAAGATAATGCCAGCATCTTTTTTTGTGAACGTTTTCCTGACTTAAATAACTGAAAATTTATTATAATACACCAAATGCACTGTAGTAAAACAATTTTCGAATACATGTACTAAAATAATCACACACTGCTTGCCGTAACCTTTGATGTACATTTCATTTGTTACATACCGTAAAATTTAAGATCGACCTATCAAAAAGTGAGGGAGGAAAAAAACCCAACATGTTAAATAGAACGGATAAGATACATTAAGGTTTTACCAAAGGTCAACATGCCCAAAAATTTATTTTTACAACAGCTCCAAAACTGTGTGAGGTATAAAGTTAAAACTTTTACAGTTTATAAATATATCATTGATTAAGAGATAGAAAGTATCACTTAAAAACAAATATTTAAAAAAATATATTTTTTGAGAAAAAACAATTTCAAAAAATTTGCATATTTAAAAAAATGCACCTGCTTAATTCTGTAACTTTCATTGATAAACATATATTGTTTCTGCAATGATGGCTTTCACTAAAAGTACGGAATTAATTAGGTGTATTTTAAAAAAAATATATGCATTTTTTGAAAAGAATTTTTCTCGATAAATACTTTCTTTAAGTATTTGTTATCAAGTGATACTTTCTATCTGTTAATCAGTGATATATTTATAAACTGTAAAAGTTTGAACTTTATAAACCACATAGTTTTGGAGCTATTGTAAAAATAAATTTTTGGACACGTTGACCTTTGGCAAAACCTTAACATGTATTTGTGTTAGTAAACAAATTGCACTTTACATGATGAATAATGGGATAGGATATCTGAATTATCATCCTATATATACCTTCATTTCTTTATCTTGCTGGTTTATGACCTTTCTGGTTCATGTATTCTCAAGGAAAGAACTGTTGATCCTGTATTTGATATCTTCTTCTGATCTGAAGAATAGAAAGTCAAGAAAAAGACAAATTAGCGTCTAAGAGACCAAACTATTTTAGACCGAATCTCAAAAATTATCGTCCAACAGGGAAAAAAGGCAGAACCTATGCACAGTGTTTCCATAATGAACTGAACGATTCTTTACAGTGATTTCCTTTTGAAATCTTGCTTATTTTTTTTTTTTTCATTTTTTGAACAAAACATTACATTGCCTTCTTTTGAAGATTTTTTTTTTCAGATCGATCAATGTTCGCTATCTTCATCTTTTTCATTTCTATGATCGTTTTCTGATTTTTTCGAATTGGCTTTTAAAAAAGCAAATTTGTGAAATAAAATTTACAGTTCACTCCAATAAATAATCATAATTACTTTTACACCTGTATATTACTTTTTGTTCAGAATAATTCAGTAAGTTCTCACCTCGCACGAGCACTAATTTAAATAATTGACGCGTATTTTGACAGAAAGGAGACAGGGTGTACACTATGTCAGCGACCTCTGGTGGTTATGCTGAGTATTGCACAGCAGCGTCCGCTGACACCAAACTTCTCCATAGTAACCTGACGTATGAGCAGGGAGCTGGTATTGGGGTTCCCTACTATACAGCATACAGAGCTCTTATGATCGTGTTAGTTTATGTCAAGTTATTATAAACGAAGTTAATATTTAATCAGTTTAGTATAATCATAATTATTCAAGTCATAATCTAAGGCTATAGAAAATGTATATTAGCTAGAACTATAAAATACTGGCTTCAAAACGGTAAGTTCTTCATTCGTCAGATTTTGATAGAATGATCCTCCTTTATATTCCGACAGAGGAAGAGCTAAACCCGGAGAAACAGTCCTAATACATGGAGCTAGTGGCGCGGTATGTGTTATGACGCAATGACTTCTCAATTTGAGTAAAAGTGCAGTTTTTATTAAGGAAATTTTTTTAGGTTCTTCAGATTAATTTTCTTGAGTTGATTTGCATGTTTCAACGTTTTCGTCTGGTATCTTTATGCATGCCTTTCATCCTTGAAACCGATTACAGGTTGGTTTAGCTTGTGTGCAGATTGCACATTCCAGGGGACTGCGTGTCTTAGGAACAGCTGGAAGTCAGGCTGGCCTCGACTTAATCACACGGAACGGATGTGACGCTGTTTTCTGTCACAGAGACGAAGGATATGCAACAAAAATCATGGTAGAAGTTCTTCCTTATATTTCTTTAAAATCTGCTTTTGTTTTCAGTACTTGAACTTTTCATGACCAATTACATTACAAAAAAAGCAAAGTTTATAACTTATTCTAATACGTTTTACTCTTTTTTAAGGAAGCTACAAGTAGTATTGGCCCACATATCATCATAGAAATGTTGGCAAATGTAAATCTGGAAAGAGATCTAACAATGATTGCAAAGAAAGGACGAATTGTGGTATTCTTAAAATTTATTTAAAATATGTTACAAGTATCCCAATTATTTATATCTAAATTATTTACAAAATTTACTTTTCAAAATATGAATACATTGTTGGTTAAGGAAGCTGTAAACACTACTGAAAAAATGTTTTTGTTTTTTTTTCTTGGACTTCAAGAAAATAGTATTGTATAAAGTTGTACATATATTGGGTTTATCTAGTTCATTTTCAACATATGGTACCTGTCTCCAGGAAAATGTCCAAAGACAGTGAAGTATTAAAAGAAAAAGTGCTTTAATGTCAAACTTTCAGATTTCTGTTTTTGTTTGTGTGTAGGTGGTAGGTAACAGAGGCTCTGTGGAGATCACTCCGCGGTTGGCCATGCAGAAGGAATGCATTGTAACGGGAATGCTTCTGTTTAACGCTTCACAGGTAAGCCGAATTCGAAAATTCTCTTCAAATATTTGTGAAGCTATCTTGGAAGTTTTACATACCATTTAAGTTAATGGAATGAAATTTACAAAAAAGTGTGTTTTTCCAGAATTTTGTGACATTTTCCAGAATTGTAAATGTAACACAGAGTTTGACTTCTATAAAAAATATTTGAACAAAAATTAATAAACAGGGTGAAATGGACGAAATTGATGCTGCTGTAGCTGCAGGGATGAGGGATGGATGGATAAAGCCACACATAGGAAAGGTTTATACATTAGATCAGGCACCAACGGCACACGAAGACGTCATAAACAACAAAGGTGCACAGGGACGTCTCATATTCAAAGTTTCCTCATAGTTAGGTGGTGTGAAACCACTTTGATTCATCTTTGTTATCCTAGAATGCTTCATTGTATGAGAGTTTGATTGAAATAAAAGCATGTAAAGAAATTGTATGATTTTATGAGTAGCTCTTAACATGTTTTCTTATAAAGTTAACTTATGTTAATTAAAGTTAGATATTTTCTATCCCAAGTATTCTATTTAAGGAAAAAGACATTCAGATAGTTTGACCAGTAAACTGGAAGTTATCTTGTAAATTTTTAACACCATCCAATAAATTCGAAATTTACATGATTTATGAATGTAACGTTTTTGTGCCACTCTTTCATTTGAAAATGTGGAAAAATTCAGGTGATGCACGATACTTTTTAATAAGACAGCAAACACTCTTTGTTACAGCTGACGAACTGACCACAAACTCTTACATCTTTTAGTACAGTCACTCTGCTTAAAGTTCTTCAATTTAACAAATTCGTATGTAATGTATTTTGCAGAGAAGATATTGCTTTTCTTAGAGGTGGAATGAAAAAAAGGAAGAAATTAAATGATTCTTTTCAACAGATACTCATATTTCTGATTTTTATTGTACGTAAGGCTCAAAATAAATAAAATGCATGGATGTTATATCACAGATACATATAAATACTGATTTGTTGATTAGATTGTATTAATTAAGCTTAACGTCCATGTGGGATTTTTTTTACTAGCTCCAATTGAGACGTTACCGGCTAAAGGTGAAGTGTCATATTTAGACCTATGGTGTGGATTCAAGCCACAGAAAGACTTAATTCTGCCAGCACCTAGCATAACATTGAGTGTCTCTTTTTAAAGCCTCATCCTTTTGAAGTGCAATTCTTGTTTGAGGACTAACTATAGGCAAAGTGAGCAGTGACCTCTAAAAGTGATACTCCCCATATGAGTATAATGGCAGTTTTATATTTTGCTATGGGAAACCCCAAATAACGAAAAATAGGAGTTGCACTATAGCACAATGTACAGGTAATAAAGATTGTTTGAAAGTTTCATTAAATTTTAATACATTGTAGGTGGTATAGGAGTTGCGGATAAGAGTTGTGTACCCAAGATAATACATGTATATAAAAAAAGAAGGGGATTTCCTCGTTTTGCTATAGGAAACATTAAATACATGTATGTGTCTAATCGAGAAAAAAAATATAAGATGCTCAATGACACTATGCAGTAAAGATTTTGTTAAAATTTCATTACATTGCATTCAGTGGTGTAAGAGGAGTTAAAAGCTAATAGATTTCTATCCCAAGTGTAACGGACGAACGTATGGACGGACACCCCCTCACTATATACCCCCGCTTATACCCCCGGGGGAATAAAAATTATATATATATATATATATATATATATATATATATATATATATATATATATATATATATATATATATATATATATATATAAGGAATGAAGCTTATTTTAACTTATACGATATAACATAACTTGGGGCAGTTTACGCTTTATAAACTGCGAAGCGGTTTATAAAAAAGGGTAAACTGCCTAAGTTATGTTATATCGTATAACATAGGTTAAAATAAGCTCCATTCCTTATAATTTAATTTAAGTGTAGACAATAAGACATTTTTTCCTCCAATGATGGCTTCAAATTGAGCATATTTTAAAAGTAACGTCAAGCAGAGTAATACGTTTTTGACGTAACTCATTGTGACGTGGGCAACTTATGTTATACGATATAAACGAAATATTTTATCCAATCAAATGACGTGTTACAACTAAAATTAAATTATATATATATATATATATATATATATATATATATATATATATATATATATATATATATATATATATATATATATATATAATTGACAAATGACCGTTCTTCCTATTGGAAAGCAAACATATCTGTCCAATCAAAACGTTAAGTAGGAGGTGCACTGTGTAATAAAGATTGTGTGAAAGCATCATTAAATTTTATTCTGTGGTATAGAAGGAGTTGAAAATAAGAGATGGATACCTCCAATATTATAGAAAGAATGGCAGTGTCTATGCTTTGCTATGGGAATCCCGAAATTTATGTCCACTGAAAAAAGTAAAAGAAGAGGAACACAATGGCCTATGTAACAAAGAATCTATGAAAGTCACATTAAATTTTATTCAGTGGTATAAGAGGAGTTGCGGATAAGAGATCGGTACCCCAAAGTCAAACGTACAAACGAACACCCCCTTCACTACACCCCCGCTTTTCAAGCGAGGGGTATAACAATAAAACAATTTTGCCATAGTTTAAACTGTTTCTACAAACAAATTTTGCCTTTAGTGAAACCTTAAACGCATATTGTACGAAGTGCACAATTGCCTTGAAATACTACAGGTAGTTCATTTTGAAAACCTGGTATGTTAAAGTGAAGAAAGTGATTCAATCTTGAAAAGTATCTAATTGTAAACATGTGTTGTTTTCTCCAAAATGTCTAATTCTTATATATAAAATAATTGGATAAAAATTATAAATTTTTAAATGCTGTGGTCAAATTCCTACGCGTTCACGAAACGTATTGAGTTTCTGGATATGAATTAGAGTGCCTAGAATAATTAATAAAACTGATTTTGTTTTGACAACACTACATTTGCAAATGACACAATGTTATTTCTTTCTGCAGTTTACATTTATTGTGGAATATTTACATTCACTGAATTACAAACAGTTTTTGTTTAAAAAATTAGCTGTTAATTTTCGCGCATGATTGCACTGAAATCCCCCCCCCCAAAAAAAAAAAATTTTTTTTACACGTCCTTAAAGATTTTTTTAATGAGGACCTTTGAATCTTTATTGAATTCTAAATACGCCAAATGCACAAAAATGAACTAGATATGCATGCAGTTTTACTGTTGATAAACTACGTTCATCAATTGTAAAATTGTAAACTGTAGTGAGGAAAGCGTTAACTCTAGTTAACGACGTTAATCTATAATTAACATCTCTAAACCATAGTCTACGCCTTAGTTTATATTGTAAAGGTAACCAATACTTTAGGACAGATGCTACGAATAAAAATGGATGTCTGCATTGAAGTCTGAACCTATTTTGGTTGAAAATGGCGCAAATACATGTATCAAATTTCTAAAATATTACGAATTATAAACTTTCTCTAATGTTCAAAATTTTACCTTTTTGTCCTTATAAATCAATATAACTTTTTTTCTCTTTATAGGACATTATTGTAATCCTTGGAAAGAAAACTAAAACTCTGTGGGGCTTAGCTTATTCATTTCACGTATATAAAGATAACTTAAGTGAGTTGTTATTTTTGAATTCATGATTTTTAAAGAAAGTTTGTTTGAATTATTTGTCATTAACTGTAAAAAGAGTTATATGCAAGTATATAAACATTGTTTGTCAGATAAATACAGTTTCAAGATTAGTTGACGACTTTAAACTACAATGTATAGTTAAGGAATCTGTTAAAGTTTAATGATAAAGAAACTATGATTAACAACTCTTAACAGAGTTAACAGCTTACCAATGTGGATTATAGTTTACAAATGAGTATTTATCAACAAAACTATTCAATTATCATAAACGATTAAATTATTCACTGACAGATGCATATGATTTAGCATTTGTAAATATGCATGTATTACAACCATTAAATATAGTTTTCTGATGAAAACTTAACTTAAGAAATCATTAATTGCATTCATATATCGACTCGATATAGCCCATCGAACTCAAAATAAAAGACACCATAGAGCCTGCCACATCTGTTTCATATTTGGATGTTTGACTGACTAAAGACGATAGAGGCAATCTAACAACAAAAGTGTATGACAAATGAGATGATTTTTCCGTCCTCTAATTTCCTTATTTATGAAGTTATGCATTTGGTGCTTATTTCTCCCAACTTAGTCGATACGTAATCTCCGGTCCCTAAGGGCACGTGTGCACAGAGGTACATGTATTAAAGTCACTTCATCATTAGGCTTAATAAATGAATCAAGTATTACAACAGCACTTTTAAGCTATATTTACTTTTAATACAATAATTTTCTTATTTCAGCTTGTTGTAAATACAAGAATGCGAGCCATACCAGTGACAGAGTTTGGAGGCCCAGAGGTTTTAAAACTTGAAACTAATAGTCCCGTGCAAAAACATTCTAACGATCAGGTATTATTTAATTACAGGTGGCTAAGGCACCTGAAATTATATGATGTCTCTCCATATGGTGATGCTTACTGGTGTCAAAACTACAGTCATTAAATAAAAGTGAAAACAAAGGATAGAAACGGAAACATGGAATAAAAAATACATGTTTAGAATAACTTATATTTATCACAAATTTGTGACATGAAAGACTCAAGGAAGTCAGTGTTCATAGTCTAATGACTGTGCAACATTTATTAAGTATTCATGTATTTATTTCCGTCAAAAGAATATTTACAGTTCAAGGATCTCTTAATTTTGAAAAAAAAGACACTATGTTTATATAAATATTTTTCTTTGTTTAAAGAATATAATAACAATGAATACGTCTTTCGTTACAGTCCCTCGATTAAATTACAGGAAAAAAGAATTTCATTCATTTTACAAAGTGTTTAACACTCATTTTTAGTAATTATTTGCAATTAAGACATTTTTAGACTTAAAATTCAACCTGAGTATACGCCCGTAAGATTTTCAACGAAGATATTCCCGTTTATGTCCGATTTGTATGGTGATAAAAATTTATAACTGTTACACCATTTTGTTGATGAATAAAGTATGACAAATTGAAACACATGGTATTAGTATTTTTTACAATTTTTACGTTACTGTATTTATTAATTAAGGAAATAAAATAGTCATGGCATTTTGACTTCTTTAGAATGTATTCATATGCTAGAATATAATTTTTCATTTGATGCAAGGCCAATAATCTTGCCATTTAGGGTATTAGAGCCAATACACCTCTTTTGTAGGACCACCGAAAACACTATTAATAATTCATAATTCATGATGTAGTATGTTACAATACCGCTTTACATGTAATTTTCTAAAGGAAAAACACGATCCGTATCAAATTGAAATAAAAGGACTAATTAATAAAATCGTTATCCTGTATTCAGTGATGTTTTTATCTAAGTACTCTTTT